TTCTGGGGTTAGGGTTTAGGGTTTAAGTTTTTTTTTTCTTTCTGGGGTTTGGGTTTAGGATTTAGGATTTAGGGTTTAGGGTTTAGGGACTATACCTCAACTTCTAAGGGGCTTCAGACTACTATTTTTCCTACAGAAAAGAAGATAGTACGGGCCCCATATCTTCGACACTCCCCATAGGTAGCAATCCTTTCTTATTATGATGATGGGAGGTATATTCCGTAATTAGGGGGGTCTTGGGCTCTCTGGGAGATCTGTGGCTTCGGGGCTTCAGCAGCCGAGCATCGAATTCTACGCTCTTTGGGTACAGGGTGAGCCTTTGAGGGGAGCAATTACGGGTCGAACGAATCAGGGTTTAGGGCTTAGGGTCCCCCATAGTTCCTTTCTTGTCATACTGTAACGTACCCCCCCCCCCCCAGGCCAAGACAAGGCTGTTCCAATTTTGAATGCCCCCGATGCCCCGACATTGAGGTATGGGGATTTCAGCATTCAATTTGAGACACCCTTGCTGCTATGATTCGTCATGTGCTTCTTATCCTCAGTAGGGGGTAAAACAATCGCGTTGCTGCCACTGCTAGTGTCTATTGAGTGTATTTTTTTCGGTGGTTTGGTGCTGCAGGGTCTTAGTTGTATGGCCAGCTGTTTCACCCTTCGCGATTTGACGCTTATATGCATGCTGAAGCATTGAAATACTCCGTCAAGAACTGCAGGGGTACCCTTCGTATGGTTGGCTTCCCTAAACAAAACACCCTAAACTCTTAAACCCTAAACCTTAAACCCTAAACCTTAAACCCTAAACCTTAAACCCTAAACCCTAAACCTTAAACCCTAAACCCTAAACCCTAAACCCTACACCTGAGTCGATTTTGCGCTCTGTTTTGGTCTGGGACGGGCAGGCACTTGAGATCCTCTGGTTGAAGGGAGTCGTCGTTTGCTTCCACAGTATCCAACCACTAATATAAGGGCCTTTCGTAGTTACCCATCATGGGCCCCTTAGTGGCTTCTTTTGGGATTACCTTATAGGATTCCAAAGATGAACCCCAAAAAGGAACTACTATGAGGCCTCTGGGTACCTAAATGATTATTTTAGGGGTTCCTGAATATATCTATTATACTCTACCCCCCAAGCCCCATTCTATTTATCATGGCCCCTACATTACATCGTTTCCTGGGCGGGTGTCACATTATAGCAGCGATCGGACACAGTCACCTCTTCTCCTGGGTAGGCTTGTATACGTTCTACGGTCCAGAACTCATGCCCTCCCTAAACCCTACTTGGAGGTTCTACTTATAACTTATAACCCATATTGTGGGACGTATAACCCGATTCATAACTACCCATGAACCTCCAAGTAAACCGTAAACATGTGTACCCATCCTGGCCAGGATCCGCGGGAGCGAGACTACTTGAAGACGATCTTGCACCGCATCTACGGCCGGATGGGGGCCATTGCTGTGGTGATCACTTTAAGGTTTAGGATTAAGGGTGATATTGCCCGCTGTTGAAGGTTCTTGCCAGGAATTTGCTTAGACTGTTTGTCTTGAAAGTAGCTTGTCGGCGGCCCTACAAACCCCGGTTTTCCTATAACCCTAAACCCTAAACCCTAAACCCGGTTTTCCTATTACGGATTCCCTATTAAGAACTTGGTCGTCATTTGCCCGGCTTTCACGGTGAACTCTCCCAGTCCTCCGAAGCAGCATCATTGTTTGGAACCCGCAGAAGTAAGATCAAAACTCTAGTCCCACCATAAGAAGCGCAGTGATGCTTATAGCACTGATATAACTTATAAATCCAACAGCTGTAATCGTGATATTTCCACTGCCGCTTTCGATCATACCGGCAATACCTCCCCACCAAAGGGTGTCCGTAAAGCCCCGGTGGACTAAGCAGCGCCAGGCAAATTCATGGCCTTGCGATCCTTCATCCGGCGTGCTATTCAGCACGTCTTCTTCAAGGTAGGGTTTAGGGTTTAGGGGTTTAGGGTTTAGGGGTTCAGGGTTTAGGGTTTAGGGTTGAGGGTGCTATTCAGCACGTCTTCTTCAAGGCGGTTTAG